CCCCCTTCTCTGTCTCGTCACCCACGTGAACTCCAACGAAAAGGATCGATCAGATCCACCGAGCCTCCTGCTTCTTTCCGATACGTCGCCTCTCGCAAAAATCACGACTCGTCCGTCTCACATCTCACGACTTCGCTCTCGGTCTCGATCTCGACATCCGCAAGTTCGGTCTCTTCTCCACTCAGACTCTCAAGCGAGCAACAACTCTTTCGGGCTCACCTCTCGCGTAATATCTTGGCTCTACTTCAGCCTCGCTCCTCGCCGACCTCCAAGGACTGAATCCAGTCGCATCTTTCGGCGTTTCTCTTTTTCCTCCAGACACGCTCACTGCTTTATGCCCCCCCTCTCTCCTTTTGGAACCCTTTTCGTCTTTCAGCACCTTTCGTCTCGCCCATGCACAAACCAAACATACTCGAATACATCTATGCCATTCCCATTCTTGTCGTCCCGCAGCCTTGCCAGATATTGTCCGCTTTACGCCAGCGCTGAATTCAGATCGTTGTCTGTGCCTGGGTGCGCGTTGAAGATGCTGCAAACGGGCCACTCGAAACATGGCTGGACGAAGTGATGTGTGTATTGCAATTGATGGAAAGAGAGGGAGGGGGACGCTTGCTAGTAGTAGTACACGGAACACAAATTTCGACGCGAATTCACATCTGTTGAGCCCAAGCTCGACCCAGACCGCTCATGCCGCCCATCGGCTGTGCCATGCCTGCACCGGGTCCCGAACCATGCATGGCATGCTTCTCCTCGATGCACTCTCCAAGCCTATCGATTTCCTGCACCCACTTGTGCAAAGCGTCGTACCGCTTGCTAGCCAGCGTCTTGCCTCCTGCTGCCCCAGCATCATTCTTGGGATGGATGATGAGCCTGGATTGCACTGCATCTATGCGTCCTGCAATGCGACCATCTAGAATGAGTACCATGAGCAGCTCTTCGACTGCCGCGGTGGTGATGTTCAGATGCTGCAGTCAAGAGGGGCAGCGGATGCGATGAGATTGTGCAGAGTGAGACGAAAATCCTGCAACTCACCCTCGCTAGGAAACTAAGCTCCACACGCGTATACGATTGGATCAAGTCGATGAGGTACTGGGTTCGCAGACCCTTGAGCACTTCGTCGATATGAGCTCTGATGAAAGGATCGTCCATGATGGTGGCTCGATTCTCTGAAAGGGTCTTGATATGTGTCAGCCACGTCGGCGCGCTCTAAGCAGATCATGTGTCGACGCACCTCTCAAAATCTTTTCTGCTTCATGCACTTCTCTGCGCTGGTAAGCAGCCACCAAATTGGTCATGGCGACAATTTGAGGGTCGTTCTTGTATCTGCGTGCGCGGGCTCCGAGCTCTCAATGCCAGCGCAGGCCATCGCCTAGGCCTATAAGATCGAGTCGTCACTTACGGCTTGGTTTCCTGACTGTCGAACGGATTGATGTCTGACCCCATGAGCATGTGCGCGAGAACCAGGTATTTGAGAACGGTTATGCGCTGAGGGCTACCAGCCTCATCGTACGACAAGAATGACTGGAAGAAGTCCATCTGCGCATCTTTCCAGCGCTCTATTAAAGGTAGGGAGATGTGCCAAACATGCCTTGTCTGAGTGACACTCCAGGTCTGCCAGTCAATGACTCTGAGCACTCACTCTCGGCCATGTGCATCTTGCCACCGCATTCTCGAATGACGCCCATGATTCTGGGATGTGGAATAGCACTGCGCACGCTCAACGTCGCATCGTACGTCTCCTTGAGCTTCTTGAAATCGCGCATCTCGTCGTACATCAAAATTTCTAGCGAGAAGACTTCCAGCAACACAGTTGCTCTGCTACCGTCGCCTTCGCCAGATTGCTCTTCACAGTGAGCTCGTAGATCTTTGAGAATCTACCATGGGGGCAATATCACTGTGTGTCAGGTGCCGCAGTTATCTCTAGTCGAGCTTCTGCGGTTCGAGGCTTACACACCTTTGCAAGTCTGCCCCATTCCTTCCTCGCGAGCCACAGTCGGGCCAATTTCAGGTCCGTTTTGATGCTCAGTCGCTCGTTCTTTGCGCTCTCTAGTGCGGTCTTCGTGGTACTGTAGAAGCGTTCCATGGTAGCCAGGTCCAGCGTTGACCCCTCGTTGCTGTGAGAGATAGCTGAGCCATGACCTTCTCCCGCAGCAGCAGAGACGTAGTCCAAGATGTTGTTGATACTCTTCTCGCTGTTGGGGAGTAGCGTCAAAAGAGTTGAGCGACTGCGCTGCACAGACGACGTAGGATCAAAGCACGCATCACCTACGAGTAATTCCTTGTTACCGCTGATCTGGTGTAGCCCAGCAGCTCTTCGTACGTTTTGAGCGCATTCGCATGCTTTCCTCGCCTGAAATTCAGCTTAGTAGACTGCTTCAACGCTTTGAAGCCCCTGAGACGTAGAGCAGATAGTTTGTGAGCAGACCGTGATCGGCGAGCATGCAATCGAGCACTGCACGCACCAGTCGCCAGGCGTGCCTTCCTGTTCTACGACCTTTCGAAAGTCTGCCAAAGCGCCTTCTGGGTCGTCCTCCTTCTTGCCTGTGGGCGATAAGTCCGCAAACTTAGCGACTTCTGCTCATAGCCACTGACAAAGAGAGGAATGTCTCTCACCTTTGGCGTTGTAGTACAGATTCTCGATGTCAGCATCTCCCGCATCCCCGTCGTCCTCCTCGTAATCAAAATCGTAATCCTCATCCGCCGCATCATCCATCAGGAACTGCGTGTATGCGTGGTCAATCAGTTGCAGATCGTCAGCTGCCTAGCCCCAACCCCGCATCGTGCTGTTCCCTTCGGATCACAAACGCACCTCATCGTCCGACATGTTCGATCTTGAGCGGCTTCAGGGATCCGTGGAGAGGAACAGGAGCGGCCCGATCAATGTGCAACAACAGCTTGCTGCCTGGCGACCGTGTACACACGAGGGTGTGAAGCTGAATGCACGCGCCGAGCGCAAACCCGAAATGCAGCGCTGATCTAGATCTGGACTGAGTCTCTGTCGATTGTCCTAGGGAATCGAATGGACATCGTGAATGCGCTTGCAAGTGCTGTTCGGCTGTCCGTGACCTCTCATCAGCATCTTGCACGGATCTCCACAGCTCGCATCTGGATGGCCCTTGACGTCACGTGTCTAGATGTCACGTCCGTGCGCACGTTTGACTCGAAACTCTTGACTCAAGACTCAAGACTCAAGACGGTGCAGATCAACCACGTGCTGCTTTCAGCTCGCCTGACAAGCAAGCATGAGCTACTCAAGACTTACGACTTCATGAGACTCACTCACCACACTGTAAGTTTGCGCTGTCCGTCGTGATTACCCCAGACAATTGATGTGACAGTGAGTATAAGCAATATGTGACTATAAACTTGATTTATACCGCTAAATAAAACGGGGGCCGTCCTTTTGAGTGCTTAAAATGAGGTGTGACTATATACCGTAGTGCTAATAGCCAGGTTCGACTGTACCACCCACACACACAACTCTGACTTGCGCCTGACTTCTCACGATGTAGAGAATCCCACATGTGAACCCCATGGCGATACGTTCATCAGGTGCGAGCACAGTCACAGTCAGGTCTTACGCAGAGGCCCCCCACCGCTCACGATCGCAATGAGCCGACGGGCACGCTCGACTCATGCACCCCCCATAGCCAGGATCGCAAGCTAATTCGTGTCCCTCGTGTCGGCCCACGTTGCGTAGCGCGATTTGTGACGTATGACTCTAGAGACGGGCGATGAAGCAGCTACGAAAGTCATTGTACTCACTGCTCGACAGTCAATGCTTCAGTGACGTCTTCACCCTCGATTTGTGGGTAAGCATCTGGCCTTGGTTACCACTGCGGCCTCAGCGAATGCAAGGTCAGCAGCGCAGCTGTCTCCTCTTCGCGGGTCGGGCCTTAATTCGAACACCGTGGTCATGAGAGCGTTGAACATTTGAGCCTGGCTCATGTCGGCTGACCACAGTGAGTCTCGTTTGTTCTACGAGCGTCTCCACAATCAAGAATGCTATCAAGGTGAGATTCGACGTTCCTCGTGAACCCGACATCTGCTGCCATCTTCGACTCCCTGCTCTTCTGAGGCCAGCACACGATTCAAGGTTGAAGTGCGCTTCAACTCTAGATCTTGATTGTATGTAGTAGTTAACAAGGGTCCCTTGCTGCATGTTCGAGCGGAATGGGAATCAAATGACACTCACTCGCGTTTGCGAGCTTCTATATGCGGGCAAAGATGCAGAGGTCATGCCGGTGCTGTGCTACGGTGCGAGCAGTACCGGCCCCAGCACTCGTGACTCCTGCTGGTGATGCGAAGA